GTGCGGGGCTGGTCGTTACAAGGAGCCTGCGCTTGCTGTAGGGATAAAAGCATATCGTCCCACATCTCATGCACCCACCCAGCTTGAGTGCCCCGTGGAAAGGGGGAATTGTCCCCCAGCTTGCTGGGAACACGTCCTGCCTGCAGGATCCCTGCTCACCCAAGGACAGTTCTGCTGACTTAAGGCTTCCAGAAAATGATTCATGGGCTGTGTGCCTTGGCACTAGGGAGCTGGGTGGGGGAGTTTTGGGGAGTGCCTGCCCTGCTCCTGCAGTTGAATTCGTCTCACAAGGGGGCTGGGCTGCCTCTGCCTACCAACTTTAGCTTGGGCTTGGAGTTTGTCCTCTGCTACATGCTGGAGTGTTTGGCTGTGGGGTCTGGATGGCCCCGCTGGACTGTAGGTGTTTATATGGCCCTAGCACTGTAGGAGGCTGCAGTGTCAGCTTTCTAATTAACTGCTGGGCTCTTAGCTATTACTCCAAACATCTCCTACTCCCAGTGCCCCCCGTTTTCCCCTTTTCACACACCAGTGCCTGCACATCCCCATCTGTCTCATCCCCTCCCACTCACAGGCAGACTCGGAAGCTCTCTTGCTCCCACCCGCCCTTCTTTTGCACGGTGCCCTTTTAAGTGGGGCCCAGACTCTATGCCAGCTGGTCAGAGTGGCAGCTCAGCTCTCCCCGCTCCCCAGGGAGATTAGCTGAGGTCCATGCACTGTATGGTACATGGGTCTTTGGGGTCAGACCTTCAACCCTATGTGCCTGTCTCCTCTGCACCGTTATTAAAGAGCCTGGGCCATTTCTCCAGAGCTGGGCTTTCCCACCCACATCCTTGCTTAAATTTTCCCCTTCCCCCCTCCAGTGTTCGGCATGCTGTGTTCCTGCTGCCCTCTGCCCTCCATGCACGATATGGCTGGTCACAGCGGTGCTGTTTGTGGACAGTCTGTGCAGCGCGCTGGGCTCCTGTGCTGTAGGTGGCTATAGCGACGGAATGAACTGAACTCCGGAGCAGAGAGAGACGCAGGAGGGAGCCTAGGACTGTTTTATAGAATTTTATTTTCAAATCTGGGGCTTTCATGGTACAATTTTACACGGCCAGGGACGGAGCCCGTGGGCCTCTCCACTCCCTGCCAACAAACTGGGCAAAGGAGAGGAGACAACCAACCCCCCAGAGGATGCGCTCCACAGCTGAGGCCACAGCAGTACAATCCGCAGAGTCACTAGCTAAGCACAGCTTCCAAAGATGGAGGGGGTCTCCCCGCCCCAGAACATTCTGAGCTGCAAGGCAGCAGGTTGTAGTGGCACAGAAAAGGCCAGCAAGGCCTGGCACAAGGCTAATATCGTTGCTGCTCTCTCTCTCTCTTTTTTTTTTTTTGGCACATGTCACTAGCTCACCATTTGGCAGTTGTGTGAATTCCTGTCATCTACAAAGAGTCAGAGGGAGGCACCTGCGGGCCTGAGCAGGATCCTGCCCTTCTCCCCGAAGTCGCAAGCTGGCTAGTGTTGGACAGGGCTGAAGACGGGGGCTGTGTTCACTCAGCAGTGCAGCCAGCGTGGAAAGCTCTGCATGGATGTTTCCTGGGGAGCTTTCGGAGGGTGCCGATATAGCCCTCCACCAGCGTTCACCTGGGTGGCACGCTGGAAAGCAGCAGCGTTCTAAGGGTTAATGGCTGTGGTCTCAGAATCAAACGGCCCCGCCCATATCAGCTAGCTCCAGCCCAGAGCTATATTGGCACCTGCCTCTCCTCAACACAGAGCTGTGATCTCCCACAGCCATCCCTCACTAAACTAATGCTCCTTGAGTGTAAACAAACCATTCATCCAACCAACCCCTCCAGAAAAACAATTCCACCAATCGCATTCCAATCACAACCCCATTACAAGCCAACCCAACCAGCTTTTTGGTGATAAGAAGTAGCACAGATCCCCATGGACTCACAACAGGACGGAAGGTACAAACAGCATTTGAAGAAAGATGCAGTTGTAGAAATCAGTGTAACAAACAGAGCTCTAGGTCCTGGTTATATACAGCCTGAAAAAACAGTGTAAACAAGATCTTTCCTGAAAGGAACATGGCGCTGAGAAGGCACCACAGGGTGACCAGCACAGATGGGGAGTCTGCATTCCCCAGCGTTGTCAGAACCTGCTCTTTCAAGACAGAAGGCCAATATCGTGGCCTGTGCTTTCTGCTCCACTGCACGTTAGAGCTTCACGTCTGTAAACAAGTAGGTGTGTGTAACCCTCTTGCCCACCCGCCCATCTCTGGGGGGGCTGCAGCATGCTGCCCTAGTCTCCACGGCCAGTCGAGGAGAGTGAATGCGTGAGCTGCAATGCTGCGGTGGGCAATACAACCTGGGCGGGTGCGGGGAGTTTCCTCCACTCCTAAAGGGCCTTGCTCACGTCAGACCCAGGCCGCGAGGCAGCTCTGATCAATCGCTTCCAAGGCAGAGGTTCTCCTCCTCCTGCACACACTTTGCTCAGGCCGCAGGCTGGAAGGTCACGAGGCCCTTTGCACTAGCTGCCAACCGTGGAGCGTATTTGAGAATACAGTTTTTAATCACCATTAACATTTCCAAGGCTCCTGCTGGTGGTGGCATGGGCAGCGCCAGGGCGGCCAGATCTCAGAGGATGCAAACCACCTTCCATCCTGTTTGCACAATCACTGGAAAAACTTTCCTTGTGTAAACATTACATAATTTGAGTCAACATTACGCTAGTGTTTTATGGTAATAAGGCAGTAAATAGGGTGTCATTACTCTATAAGTGGGTGATAACCAGAGCAAGACACACGAGGCCACTGAGGGCTGCAGCCTGGAGAGAGACACAGATAACACCCCACACTCACTTTAGTAAACACATTGCTTTTGACAATCAAAATGGACTGCATTGGTGGTTGAGAGGGTATAGCCAGACACAGGCTGTCGCCCATGGCAGGGGGAGGTAATGCCTGTGCCTCTGGGGAAAACAGCAGCAATACACCAGTTAAAGAGGGCTGGGGGGGTTGGCAAACTTTCTTTTACTTCCATTTTCATGTCGGGTTCAATAAGCACAAATCCAGCATATAAAATGACAGGGATCATGAGGGACTCCTTGGGATAATCAAAGTCCCCAGCCCCTTTGATGTGGGGAGGAAGGATAAGCCATCAGGGTGGCTGAAATGTCAAACTACAGTGTGTTGAAAACAGCTGCTCTCTCCCTCTCGACATTCAGGCCATTCTGAGCTGTGGGCCTTTGCGGCAGACAGGGCAGCTGTCACTGCTGCCAGGGGAGCGTTGGGTCGGCGGAGAGGGGTGCACATGTGTGGACATGCACATGGAGCGGCCTGGGTATAGGCTCACTACGACCCTATTACTGGAATCTGTGCCCGACAGAAGCGCAGCCTGCAGTACAGGCCAAGGGAGATGCTGGCTCCTGTGTGCTAGGGACTGGTGTGTAAAATGGAGATAAGAGGCTGCTCCTCTATTGCAACAATGGTGCCCTGGCCAGTGCCCTCCAGTCATGCTCCCTGGCTGGCTGGGACCATCTCAGAGCTCCTCCCCTTGGGCCACTTGGTGCTAACCTGGGACTTGGGGAATTGCCCACTCTTGGAGACAGCACAGGAGAAATCTCCCCACTACCCTGCAGAGCACCCAGGTCTAGTTCCTATGGAGAGTGGTGTCTATCCTCTCTCCTTGAGCCAGCCTCTAACTCTGAGGCTCCTGGGGACGTGAGGAGGGAGGGGGTTTGCTCCAGTTAATACTAGGGAAAAAAGAGGACACTGTACATGTGATGGTGGCTAAAAAAATCAGTGTTCTCCTCCGTCCTCCCTGCTGAGAGGGGCCTGCTGGGGACTCGGGCCTTTGGAGATGGACACTCGGGGAGAGGCCCAGAGTATAGGCTGCTTTGGAAGGCTTCTCAGAGGCTTGTTTCACTCGGCAGGAGATCTCACAGATCAGCTTTGCCTTCCTGTGTTCTAACCCTATGAACTCAGCAGGTTTCCCACTCTGCCCCTGTTTCGAGCAATGGCTGTGTGACACAACACAGCTCTAACACAAACATGGGCTTCTACCCAGCACAAAACCTCAGTCCAGCTGGGCACAACTGGCAGCCTCTGCTCAGCACTCAGACAGTAGGAGACTTCTCCTGAGAACTGAAATGCACTGATGAGCTACAGTATATGCAGGACTAGAAAATCAAGGATGCTGGGAGAGAGTGGGACTGACCCTGGGAGCAGCATGACAGGGGTGTTGGCAGGGCTGTGGAGGCACCGGGGCTGGAATAGCAGGGAGTACTGCAGGTCAGGACACAACACAAAGGAAAGCCTGGAGAAAGCCGCTCACTGGGATCTGGGCTTCCACAGGCACAGCCCCACTGTGGAAAGGCCAGCAGCAGCCCCTCTAGTCACAGCTGGGAGTCGCTGTCAAGACAAACACTGTCAGCATCACAGCAATGGGAACAGAACATTCCGTAAAAATAACCATAGAAATTCTCTTCTCTCTGATTACAAAGATACAAAATGTATAAAACCCTCCCCTGCCCCATCTCCTGCGGCCACCCCCACCCCACTCTCTCTCTCTCTCCCTTTCTCTCTCTCTCTCTCTCACTCTCACACACACACACACACACACACACACAGTGTAGAAATGGTTCAGAAAGGAAGATTTCGGTCTGTTTGCTTTTGATATGTAACCAGCGGCACCAGCCTGGGTTTGCTCACGGTGTAGTACTTCTCCCCTCCTCTGGGGGTGCCCTGTTGAGCAGGCGATTGGTCAGTGCAGCTCCATTCTGGTGCAGAGGTACCTGAGACCCCTTCCTCCCAGAGATGGTTTGCCTACCTCACCCCACCACGAGTTCTCCAGAACCAATGAGTGGGGAGGGCGGGGTGGATTTGGGCCTCTGACCACCATCATCAGTTCTTTCCTTGTAGGCGCCTGGCACCCAGGGACTCCAAACCTCTGCTGAAAGTGTCTGGCCAGGTGATCGTCCCTGCTTCTTCCTTCGCTCTCGCCGCAGCTCGGGCCCCTCAGGAATGACCTTCACTTCTCGTTATTCTTCTCGGGGAAAAGGAAACAAAATTAACAAATGTAGCCTCTGGGGCCTTACTCCCCAGGCCCAAGTGACGCTCCCTGCGCTCTCCCTGCTGGGCCAGGGGCTTGGGAAAGCATCATGCTCACCTCCTGGTGCAATAAATAATGCTAATGATGAGGGCAGGGTCTATCTGTGGATCCCAGAACAATGACCAGGCCAGGCACATATAAGAAACAGAATACAGATCTTTTCCCTTGGCCATACCCATTCACCCAAGTGCCTGTGCCATGTACAGCTGAAGGCAACAGACAGACCTGTACCCTGCCATGCATTCTAAAAAGCATAGCTCAGAGCCACTTCCCCTCCGTCAGTACCCGGCAGGTGTGCCGGGACGGATGCTGAGCCCAGAGGAGCATAGGGGTGCCCCGTGGAACAGCTGCCCCTTTAGAGATGTTAGCACTTCCAGCCATTGCACCTGTGTGATGGGGTCCTACAGAGCATCACAACCAATAAGTACTTTTAGGGCCTAGTTTCATCCTATGGGGGTTGATCCTGTTTCACCAGGAGGCTTTGTGCTTTCAGATCCCATACTCCAGGTGGTAATACTCGGTTGCTCTTTCGTTTGTTTGGAAACTAAGTGGCTAGAAGATACAAACTATCCTCTGGCTATCTCACAGCATGGACTGGACTGACCTGAAAGCTGCCCTGGAGAAGGAGAAATACTTACTCTGAATCTGGCGATAGCTCAGAGATACTGTGGGATGTAGCAGAGAGAGGTGGTGACGGGCACAGCACAGAGGGCGTTGAGGAAGTCTGCACAGCAGAAGGAGTTGCTGTGGTCTGTGGGCCAGAGGGAGTACTGGAGGATTGCACAGAGGACAGGACAGAAGAATTAAAAGAAGCAAGGATGGAAGAAAGGATATCTAATTGCTCAGTGGAAGGATGTCGGCTAGGGATTGCTTCCAGATTTTCCCTAGAAGGCTGTCTCCTAGACAGAGGTTCTAGATTTTCTCTAGAAGGAAGCCTTCTAGAAAGTGGTTCTAGATTTTCTCTGGATGGCTGTCTTCTAGAAAGAAACTCCAGATTTTCCCGTGATGGCTGCCTACTAGGCACTGTATCCAGATGCTCTCTGGAATTAGATCTTCTGGATAAAAAGTCCAACTGCTCTCTTGAAGTTTGTCTAGCTAACGCTAGCTGGTCCCTTGAAGGCTGTCTTCCTGAAAGCAGGTCCAATTGTTCTCGAGAAATGTCTCGACTTAGTAAAGTGTCCATTCGATCTCTAGATACTTGCCTGTTAGGCAAAGTATTGAGCCACTCTCTAGAGACCTCTCTGACTGGCCCACAGTCTAGTAGTTCTCTTGACCCAAATCGACTGGGTAAAGTATCTAGATGGTCTCTAGAACCCTGCTTCCTGGGTAGTGTATTCCCATGATCTTTCTGATCAGGCTTGGAAGCTAATGTATCTAAGTCTTCTCTAGACCCATGCCTACTAGGGATAGTGTCCAATTGCTCCCTTGATCCAGGCCTGTTGAGAATGGTGTCCAGTTCCTCCCTGGACCCATGCCTGCTGCGTACAGCTTCCAAGTATTCCCCCGCGTCGTTCCTGCTCAGCTGTTCTCTGGACATCTGCCTTCTCATCAGCATGTTGAGTTGCTCCCGGGAAGAGTACCGGCTTGCTGGCTGAGAGAGGCTACCTGCACCAGAATAGATTCTGCCATAAGAGGCAGCAGGAACAGCCCTGTGACCCAGGGTGGATGTTTTGTACCAGGAAAGCTCATTGGTCATTCTACCAACGGATGGGAAGCCTTGCAGAGCTGGAGGGTACTGGAGGCGATTCTTCAAAATCCCTGTGCAGACAGAAACAAAGTAGAAAGTGAAGAGAATCTCTGTGACAGTGCAAACAACTCTCCTCGCTATCTGCAAGAAAGCAAGGACAAAAAACTTGGCTTGGCAGCTTGGGCGGCCCTGCCCCTCCCCAAGATCACCCCAGGATGGAGGAAACCGCCACCTCTGTTTGCATGTTGCAAAGCTTTCAAGATCACAACACCCTGTGGCCCAGCACCACCTCATCTCCACAATGGATGCATGTCCCAGTCTACTAGACATGAGGAGAAGCCACTCCTGCGAGTGGCTTGCCTGTAAGAGTGCGGCACTCTTGGCTTAAAACAGCAGAGGGGACATTACCAAGACTACTTCCCATTCTGTCCCTCGGCAACATGTAGGGGAAGTTATAGCTCTAGTTGAGCCAAGGGAAATTTCCCCCTTGTCTCCATTCCTTACACGTTCTCTCTCTCTGAGCCTGTCAGGCTCTCGCCCCACTTTCTGACTATGGGTGGATGGCCAGCCTAGCACTGTCAGGGAGATGCTGGGCGTGCCAGGCAGGGGAATGGGGAGACTCTGGGGGTGCAGCCAGTGGGACACTGTGCCGGCTGGCAGCTGGATATGTGCCCACCCAGGGAGCACTAGGCTGGCTGCTCTGAGTCTAGTTACCTTTCCTCTGGCGCTGGGTCTGGGTGAGGGAGTTCTCATCCCCGCTGGTCAGGGCCAGGTCTGGCTGGTTGTTGTTGGCAGCATCCTTGTTGATGTCAAAGCCCAGCTTCCGCTCAGACCCCCATTTCTGCAGAGAGCAGGGGTGAACCTCACATTCGCCCAGCGCTGGCCAATAGGACATCAGGTCATTGCCATCCACATCTGGAGAAGAACAGTGCAACATATCGGGGGGGTGGGGTGAGGGGAGAGGAATCAGAGTTATTCCCAGCTGTGAACAGAGCAGGGCCTGCCATGACACTCACTGGGATAAAGTCCCAAGGGCTGCTTGACCACCAGTAACGTGCTGTGGGGCTTGCAGGAGCAGAACCAGTAGATGAGAGGGATGAGGCGATTTCCCTGCCTCTGCTGGAGTCACCACATCTCCAGGTGGTACTAACCCCTCCCTGCCAACAGGGACTGCTCCCAGGACCCCCCAAGCAGCGCTTTGCCTTTGGGAGGCCTTGCATCCCATCAGACAGCAGCTACATCAGAAACACGCCCTGTGGGAGGAGACCTTCAGCATGGTCCCCCCATGCTCCCTCCCTCCCAAGTTGCTTAGACCCAGGCAGCCATGGTGGCTCCCAGGCGGGCCCCCAGCTTGTGGCAGGGCTCTCGCATGGTACTTGCCTTTGGGAGTGGTGCTGGTGGGGTTGGTGAGGAGCCGCTCGCTGTGCGCTGCCCGTTTGAACTGGCGCTGGAACCGGCCCCGGAGGCGTACGTTCTCCTCGCTCTCCGACGACGGGATGGAAAGGCTGCGCTCCTCATCCAGGGAGAGGTCACTGTCTGAGTCAGAGTCTTGGTCTGTCAGAGCACATGCAGGGTGGAAGTGGTGGGGATGGGGGCAATCGGATGGCTTTTGAGCAGGGCAGGGAGGGAAGGAATCTTGGTTTCTGGGTTTTGCCTGCTAGCGTCCCGGGGTTATATCCCCCAGTCTAGCACTCCTCTGGCACAAAACATAGATCCTGTGTTTGGACATTGCCCAGCCCAGGCCAGGGCCCCAACCCCCTGAGGGGCCTGTGCTGTTGTTTTCACCCTGGGAAACTAATTGGCCCAAGCGGGGCACTGTTCAGTGACCCTGGGCACTCCCTCCTCCTCCCAGGCTGAGCGTACTCAGGAGTCGGAGTGAGGCTGCTGGGAGTGGTAGGTGCTCAGTGTGCAAAGGTGCTGCAAGAAACTATCACCTCAAAGGCTGCTCACTAATGTGGGAAATGCCACTTGCTAGGGCAGCACTGAGCCTTCTCACATCCACAGGCAGGTCCCCAGGGCGAGCTGGCTGGGTCTCAGCCTTACCTCCCCCTGCATCACGGTGAAACATGGCCACATCGAGGTCCGTGGGGCCGGTGTGACCGAGCAGGCTGTGATCCAGGGCTGAGCCCTGACGCGCCATCACGTTCTCTCTGAAACACACATGGCAAAAACGCTCAGACCCCAATTCCTCACCTGGCAGCATCTGTCCCTGTCCTGGAGTAACGGACTGCTCTCCTCTCACCTCCCATATCATATCTGTGCCTGGCAGAGAGGTCAACACATGGGCAGAGCCCTGGGGCAGGGTGGGGAAGGGACTGGAACAGCAAGGAATGCTGCAGGGCAGGAGTGGGGGCACCGGCAGAGGTGTGGAGAGCTCAGGAGTGGAGTAGCAGGGGGCTGTAGTGGGTCAGGAGTGATGCAAGAGAGCAGAGCTGTGCGTGGAGTCTCAGGATTGAAGGTCATAGCAGAGGAGGCATAGGTAGCAATGGTCCAGAAGGGCCAGGAGGTGACACCTGCATCTCCAGAAGAAGGCAATGGCCTCCCCATTCCATGGTGGGCCCCACTCCCATCCCGCTCCACGTCTGTAGTTTCTCAGCTGTGGCCGTGTGGGCCAGCGGCCAGCCAGATGCCTCCCACTCTGGCTGCTTCCTACCTGAGGTAGCCCCTCTGGCTGGAATGGGTGCGGGCTGAGCGCACGCTGCTGACTGAGGAGATGGTGGAGGCCCCCAGGGTGATGCGAATGAGGCCACTCTCCTCAAACAGGGCTGTGTTATTATAGGCGTTGGGGCCCTGGCGAGGAAGAGACACATGGAGAATCTGTTAGGAAGACTCTGCAGCAGCTGGGTCTCGAGATTCTCTCCCTGCCCCAGCCCAACACTGTAAAGGGCGGGGGTGGCCTGTGTCCGTTCAGGAGTTTCCAGTCTCAGGCACCGCGAAGGGTTCTCTTCATTCACTGGCGAGGGTCCCACCAGCCTCCCCGTGGGGCACGGGGCTCCCAGGGACATGACAGTACATGAATTCAGACATGGGCTGTGGGGCTAGGACCTGGCCACAGGGTGGCTGTCTGGCTGAGGTCTTTCCCACGGACCTCCTGGAGCAGGACAGCAAGGACCAGTTAACCTGCATGCTCGGTGGGGAGGGTGGGCCAGTAGCGTAGGTAGTGGGGTGCAGGGGAAGCAGCCACTTCCCCTCAGCACGTTTTCAAAAAGTGGCAAGCCTGCCGGCCGGCGCTGAAATCCTGCAAGCCAGGGGGGGCAGCACGGCCGGAGGAGCCATGGGGAGGGGGTGGCGCGGCCAGAGGAGCGAGGGGGGGCGTAGCAGGGCGGCCCGCAGCGCGGCCAGCAGCCGCGGCCGGAGGAGCGAGGGGGGGCGCAGCAGGGCAGCCCGCAGCGCAGCCCGCAGCCATTGGGCCGGGGCGGCAGGCGTGGCCGGAGGAGGCAGAGCGAGGGGAGGGGGGCGCAGCAAGGCGGCCGGCAGCGCGGCTGGCAGCCGTGGCCGAAGGAGCAAGGGGGGGCGCAGCATGGCAGCTGGCAGCCAGTGGGGGGGCGGCACAACCGGAGGAGCCAGCCAAGGGGGGCGTGGCCAGAGGAGGAGCCAAGGGGGGGGGCGCCTTTTTTATGTTTGCTCCCCCTGCTCTTAGATCCTGGCTATGCCACTGGGGTGGGCCCAGGGAGGGATTCCCTCCCAGGCAGAGTGCAGGCTCAGGGACGGAGAAGGCCCTTGTCTTTGGGCTCGCTCACTGGGGCAGTGCCCTTCTACACCCACCTGCGCAGATCTAGCTGCCTCCTCGCCCTGACTCTTCTTGCCAAGACAGGCCAGTTTCCAGGCCTCCTGCACCTCTTCATTCAGGATGCAGAACAGAACCAACACGGCCAGGCCCTGTGAGGGAGGGGAAGAGAGGCTGTGAGCCTGAGTGAGGAGGGCAGGGAAGCACTCAGCACAGCCAGGAGCCCACACTTCCACTCTTCCTGGCAACGTGGCAGTGCTGAAGGCTGGCTTTGGCCATTCGGGAGTGTGCTAACAGAGTCAGTCAGCTCTCCTCGATCGCACTGCCTGGCACTGCATCCAGCTACTTGCCTTTCAGTCAGTCACGTTTACACTGCACCCGGGCCTCCAGCATAGCGCAGAGTGCTGCATCTAGACCCCTGATAGGGCAGCAGGGCCACAGAGTGGAGGCATTTCTGTGCTCACCAGACTCATGACTCCATTAGCCTCTAGAAGAGGAAGGGACAAGCGGCTGCCCCTTGGAGAGTGCTTCCTGCTGGCCAAATTCATTGTGGGTCTCTGGGGGAAGGGGAGGGGAACAAGTGCCTGCCATGCTATCCCACCTGATGCATGAGGCCCAGCAGTGGTTGAACCAGTTTCTTCCCTCAGGAACCAGCGTGTCTGCTCTGGGGTAGAATTGCTGGAGACTGACAGAGCTTTGGGCCACAGACAGTTACTAACATGAATAGGCTCCAGCCAGCACAATGACTCAGTGCCAGGAGCTTGGTTTCACAAGATTGGTCTAGCTGCTCTCCGGGCCACCAGAGACTTACAAGGAGGGCCTGCTTGCTGCAAGCTCCTGGGCCCAGTGGCATGGATGGGGAGAGAGGAGAGTGGCTGCCCAAGGGTGATGGGGTAAGTGGAAGAGGAAAACTGAACCTGGGGTTGTCTGGGCAGCTCTGATTCTGTGCTGTGCAGTGACTAGGGAGCAGTCTGAAGGCCCATGACAGCGGTGCCAGGCCCACTGCTGCTAGCAGGGGGTCACAGTGACAGCGAGGAGCTTAGCAGGCCTTGGCTTTGGAGGTGATGGGGGATAACTGGCTATACAGAGAAAGCTTAGGATGGGGGAAGGGGTAGCTCCAACAGTGGGTGCTGGTGGCTGTTAGCTTTCCCCTGCATGCAGTTCCCAGCAGCTCTTGTGCATCCACTTCAAACACAGGCCCAACTCTTGGCTGCTCCATTTTATGACAGCAGAAAACTCCTCTGAAGATGGTCATTATTGTCCCATTATGTCCCAGAGCAGGGCTGCCTCAGAATGGACATCATTAAATCATCATAACCAACTCATTTGGGCTTACAACTGAAGTCTCTTCTTGGTGCAGCAGGTCTCTGTTCCTCTACAGCAGTGGTTTTAGCCTATGTCTAAGGGGTCCACGAAAGGTGGTCGTTACCATAGAACAGTGGTTTTCAACCTGTGGTCTGCAGACCCCTGGGGGTTCACAGACGGTCTGAGATTTCCAAAGGGGTCCTCACCTCCATTCGACATTTTTTAGGGGCCCACAAATAAAAAAAGGTTGAAAACCACTGAGCTAGGCTACAGAATTAGAAGGCGAACATGGACAATGACCACTAGAGGGAGCAGTCAGTTCATGAGTGAGCGAAGCAGCAGGAGGGTGCCTGAAATCAGGAGCTCCAGGGCCAGCACAGGGCTTTAGCTAAAGGAAGCCAGAATGTCCGGCGGATTAGTGAGCAGAAAAGGAGAGTGACCGAACGGAAGGGCACAGTCACTGCTGGAGGGCAGCTGCTCTAAGGGAACACCTCTGTCTGTGTAATGCTCCTAACGAAGGGAGGCTCGGTGGGACAGCTCTTGAGAGCCAAACCCACAGGGTGACTGGCCAGGGGGAAGCTTGAGGCGCTGAGGGGTTAGTGTCTGCCATGTATTTGAAGTGTGCACCAACCTCAGCTTGTCTCTGTGCCATGCATACCAGAGAGGCATGAACAGCTAGTGTGTGTATGTGCACATGATAGAGAGCAAGCCCATCAGAAGGTGTGTCAGTGTGTGTGTGCATGCACATGCGGGTGAGTGGCAGAGCCCATC